CAGTTAATTTTGTATTAATTCAGCTTTATTTTCAAATAAATTTTATATTACAATAATGGAATAATAAATTTTTTTTTATTTTTACATTTTTTTTCGAGAAATGCTTATTTTCGGGTAATATTAAAAAATAGAGATACTTATTTTTAGGACTATACAGTAGATTGATTAATTAAGTATTGCATATTAATCAGTCTTCTAGAATAAAATATGAGAAAATTTTAAATAAAAAAGGAATCATTAATTTTTAAACAATGAATCTTTTTCACATGATAACAGAAAAATCATAGGAATTTTTAATATAAAATCATCTCATATTTTTATGCATGTTAATCAAATATGAGAAGAATCAACTTGTTAATATAAATAAAAAGATAAAAATGAATAGATTATCACTATTAAAGTACTTATTAATCAAAATGTGAGAAAATTTTTTAAATAAAAAAGGAACTATTGTTCTTTAAATAATGAATTTTTTTTTTTAGTTAAAAGAACCTTAAAAATATTATTTCTTTCTTATTATATAATATAATATGAAAAAAATCTGTTAATAATGTATGAAATTAATATATTATGAGAATATTTTTTTTAAAAAAAAAAAATAATAAAGGAAATAGTTCTTTAGTTAATAAAGTATTATTTAATAAGTAAGTTAAAAAATTTTTCACAAATACAGAATGATATTTTTTCTAGTTCTGCAAAAGAACTCATAATATAATGCTATTTAGTTAAATACATTGCTAATGAGAAAAAAAATGTATATGATTATTTGTAATAAATGAATAAATACATCATTGCCCTTTCAAAAATAAAAATAAATTTTCTTTATGATTTTCTTAAAGTTCTTATCATATATCAAAATGGCACGTATCTTAACAATTTTTGAATAAAATAATGTATCATTGTATTTTTTTTTCACAAGCTGCCTATTATATCTTTCTGGTAAAATTTTAAATTTTAAAGTTAATATTAATTAGATTAACTAACTATTGCATATATTTTTCAAGAAATTTTTAAATAAAAGGAATTATTACCGTTTTAAATAATGAACAAGATAACAGAAAAAACATTTAAATATGCATTGTCAATCAAAATTAAAGTATGTTTAATATAAATAAAAAGATAAAAACGGATAGATTATCTAAAGTTAACGTCTAATGCTTATCAAATTAAATGTGAGAAAATTTTTTAAATAAAAAAGGAACTATTTGTTCTTTAAACAATGAATCCTTTATGTTTAGTTTGAAAGTAACCTTAAAAATATCATTCTTTCTTATAATACAAATTTAATGAAAAAAAATGACAGTAATTTATATAATCAATATATTGTTCTTTTTATCAGTAAAACGTTTTTTGAAAAAATAATAGTTGTATGAGAAGTCATAAAATTATTATATATAAATAAGATAAAACCACATGATAGAAAAATTTAGAAATAGTAATCACTTTAAAATTTTTAAATCAAAATTTTAATGAATTTTAATTTGATATACTGTATTTCTAACAATTAATTAACTAAATATAAAAATGGCAGGTATTTTTAATGAGACAAAATACCAATAATGCATGTTAATCAATGTATTATAAGAAAATCTTATTTTTATTAAAAAAGTAAAAAAAAGAAAATTATTCTTTAGCCAATAAAGTATTATTTCATAATATAATATTTCACTTAATTACATAAATGTGACTTTAATATAATGAGAAAATTTGTTGATGCATTTAAGCTATTGATCAAATTAATAAACTGTGATCATTAAAATTTCTCAAAAAAAATTTATTACACTAATACAAGTTGAAAATTTTTTAAATAAAAAAGAAATCATTGTTCAATTAAACAATAAAGTTTACTTTTTTTAGCAATTACAAAATCTTTAAGAGATTCTTATCATGTATTAACAGTGATATGGAATATTTTTTAAAGCAATAAGACCTTCTCGTAATAAGATATCCCAAAGAATAGGAATTTTAAATTTAAAGATAAAATGCATTTCAATGAATTATGAGAAAATTTTAAAATAAAAAAGGAATCATTTACCATTATTTCGCAAGATAAAAAATTTCTCTTAATATTTTTATTGTGAAAATTTTAATATTACAATTCTTGATTATCATGCATTTTATAAAAAAAAATTGGATCATTCTTTAAATAATAAAGTTTTTTTTTCACAAGGTTAACCTGCAAGAGTATATTTAATTTCTTTTATCATAAAAAATATACATAAATTACATCATATTAAAAATATAATACATCTTTTTGAAGGTGCAGTGATATTTCACAAGGTAACATTTCTTTAATAGTTTCTCAAAATCCTGCAAAAAATTTTAAATATAATATATATAGTATTAAAGTCAATTGTAAATTCTATATAATCATTTAAAATGCTCCTAATGTCACATCACGTGTACAAGGAGATATCAAGAAAAAAATTAATATAAACTTAAGCAACTTAGCTTTATCAGAATTAATTTTTTAACTCAAAAATTATGCAATCAATAAGATGACATAATATACCACTGAATAATAATAAATCTCATCAAGTAACAATTCCAATGCATTATAATGATAAAAATATCACTAATGACGTTCACCAAGTCAAACAGTAACAGCATAATAATATTTCTGATGAGGCTCATTATTACAGAGTTCAAGCAAAAAATTCTATCGATGAGCTTAAAAAACAAAGGAAAAATCTTCAAAATAAAGTTCAAAAAACTAAATCAACATAAACAATTGAACGAAAGAAAAATCCTAGAATTTGAAAATAAAGAGATAAATCATTATAGAACACTTGCTCAAAAGTCAGAAAATGAAGTCAAAGTAATCAATGAACAAATTCAAGAATTAGATCACTATAAAACACTTGCTCAACAGTTTGAAAATGAAGTCAATGCAACCAAAAGACAAATTCAAAAATTAAATCAATATAAATTATTGTACAAGCAGAGCAACAACGAATTATAAGGATTACAAGTAAATTACAAGAAGAATATACAAAGACTAGAAAATGAAAAAAATCAATATAAAGTTCTTGCTGAAAAGTCAGAAAAGGATACTGAAACAACCAAGGAACAATTCGAAATAATCAAGGAGCAACATTTAAAGAAAATACAAAGAATACAGAATAGAATCGACGAACAAGAAGGAGATTTACAACAATTGGATAAGGAAAAAGTTGAATTAGATAAGTTGAAACCAAAGATATATGATTTAGAGGATGAAATTAAAGACCTTTTTAAAAAAAAATACTTTATTAGAAGATGAAACGTCAAGTTATCAATCCGCTCTTGGTAAAGCCACAAATTTTCAATTAAATAATGATATCGCAGATCTCAGTGATAATTTAAAAAATTATGTAACAAATTTAAAGCAAAATATCGTTGTTAACATGAAAGAAGTTAGAAAGCTTTTATTACATTATAAATGTCCAACTGAAATTAAAGATCAAAAATCTAGTAGACTATTGATTCAAGCAGTTTTGCAACGTCACGTCATCGAAATAATATTCGCAAATGCTACACAATATTTTCATGTCTCTGGACGTCAACAACTTGAACATCTTGAATCACAAATTGTTAATAAAGAAAGTGAGCTGTCCAAATTATTAAATTACGCCTCCCAAATATCGAATTGGGAATGATGAAATAACTCGTGTCGCACCAATAAAATTGCGACAGCAAATATATTCAATTCTTAGTAACCGCGGATTTGAGGATACGTCCAGAGAAAACAATACCGTATATGAGCACGCTTTCATCACTCAATGTAAACAACAACTAAACGACATTATGAACGGACTGCGTACTATCAATGATAAGCAAAAGAAATCAGATTCCGAAAAATATGCCGTGACTATCATTCGCGAGGTTGTAAAGATATTTTACTTTAGATTGAAAGTTCAAGAACCTGTTGTACAACATAATTGGTTTTCGTATAATGCTAAATTAGATAAAACATTAATGGAAGGAATTTCATGACAGTGATGATGAGAATTTATACGTTGATTTATGTTATTTTCCTCTAATTGGAAAAGATCTTATGTCAGAAGATCGAAAAGTCTATACACTTGTTCCGAGAAGGAAATCACGCGAATTCTACCGATGATCGACTTTGTTTAAATATAAATTATTATTTTTCAAACTTGTAGATTTTATTTAAATAAATATAAATAAATAAAGTGCAACCCAATTATGTTAATGTCATATTTACAATATTATTCTAAAGAATGATAAAGTTCTAAAAGGATATTCGCTATACTTAATTATATAGTGGAATATTTGCCATAAATTTTGCGTTGTAGAATATAAATATGTGGATGTTTTACTACGGCCATGCAACTTCGATTTTTCGGTTCATGTCTGGGTCACTTTTTCAAATTAACAAAAAAAAGTTTATATAAAAAGTTTATCATGTGACTATAAAGTAATTTTATTGGTATATTAAAGCTTTATTGTATTATCGTTATGTGTTATGTATCATTCCTTTCTTACAACTCATTGCAGCTTCCCAAGCAATACATTGTGCTGAAATTTTTTCTCCAACTAATGTTTTTGATAGGCTAAACTTCACTTCAAAATCTGCTTCCCACCAGTCAGGTGATAAATATAGAATCGATATATTTCCAAAAAATCTTTTATTTTGTATAATAGGCATTTTGACGAAATGTGATTGTCGTATGATTAGGCCGGGCAAAAAAAATTTTAGATAAAATTTTAAAATTGACACGGTCACCCGGTTATTTTTTTCTTGTTCATATGTAAGTATTACACAAATAAAGGTAAATCTTTCTTTCGTCGCTTTCTTTTAAACAAAATCTGATATGCCGATTTTATTATGTAAGGTCACATGATAAAAATTTTACTATAAAAAAAATATCTACAGCCCCTTAAAGATTGACCAATCAGATGATATAATATTTATATATAACCTTTTTTTATTAATAAAAAATAATCATTAATAAACTCCTGGTCTCCGGGTCGATTTTAAAATTTCAATGTTACGTGAACCGAAAATCGAAGTTGCATGGCCTAAGTTTTATTTTTTTTTTGTTGATGAGCCGAAGCAACTTTGAAATTTATTTGCATTTGAAGAAGTAATATCTATTGTTCAAATTTTTCAAAATATCATAAACTGTACTTTTAGCAATAAGTTTTTTAACAGTCCTTTTTTTTTTTTGAGCTAGTGATATTATTTTTATTTTCATCTTTAAAAAAGAAGCGGAAAATATCGAGGATTTGTTTATATGTATGTTGGTTCCAAGACCGAAATAATGCCAACTCCGAGTCAAATTATCGAGACCGCCTGTATAGATGACGTGTGTCACCTGAGAAAAGTGTATACAATAATTTAAAAAGAATGTACCATATTCCAAATCATATATCACACAAGGAGCATTTTATATATTAAAAATTTTTTAAATGCAATATTACAAATAAACAGTATATCTATCTAGTCAATGAAAATAGAAATTAATAAAAAATGACAGCAATTTCAATTTAAAGCCCCATAAAATTTGAAAAAAAAATGATTCACTATGCCCTAGGAAATGGGAAATTAGAGTGATAATCCTTGTTCACAAAAGAATTAATCAATACAAATCATTATTGTTGTACGATTACAATATAACCAAAGACTAGAACTGTGAAATAGAGATAAATTATATAAAATTATTGCCACAAAGAAATCAAAACTCCAAGGAAAAACATTTAAAAAATGACAATTTGCAATAAATAAATGAATATATATATTAATTTAGAAAATCAAAAAATATTCAATGGAAGATAAAGTTAATAAAAGTGCGTTTTCCACACACAAACACTGATTTTATAAATGTTCAATTGAAACTATAGCGAAAAAATACAACGCATCACAGAAATAATATTCTAATGTTTTTAAATATTTTCATTTGAATAAAAATGTTGGCTAATACATTGCGACTCCGAATTTCGTCCGGTAATGATGACGTAACACGTGTCGCTCACAAAATACGTAGGAACTGATAATGATAATTAACAGAAATTGTTAACTATCAAGATCCCGGAACGCATCATAATTGGTTTGTATAAATGCTATTGATTTTCAGGATTGGTCACACATCCGATCCGAGCATAATACGGAATAATAGATTGACAGTAGAATAAATACGTGGCACAATTTCTTTTTCGAAAACTCCGCGTTTGTATACTTAAGATTTGATTTCTATTATAAGCAATCATTAGTTATCGTGAAAATCTTCAATTGGCACAACATTGAAACCAAAATTAAAGTGTATAACAAAATTTTATTATAAAGATATATAAATATAATCATTATACATATAAATGAAAAAGCTATAGAAGATTTTAAAGGTCTAAGTTAAAAGTGGTTTCATATTTTACTCCAGTTTGAACATTTTGAGCTGTAGCTTCAATTTCAATACTACCAAAAGTTAAAGTAAATGCGATCGACCTTCCTTCGTTGTTATATGTCGTTGGTACATTAACACTCCAATTATCAAGTAAGTAAACGCCGGTTTCGTCACAGTAATTTGCATCCACATCCTCTGTAACGTATAAATCCAAACCTATGCTGGTTTGTTCATTGCTATATGGAACATATACTCTTGCAACTTGATGATTAATATCTACTTTTTCACCACGTCTTGCCAATCGGTCGAAAATTCTAATTTTTCCATCTGCACGTCTACGATCAATTGGATCCAAAAGTGCCCATTGTCGAATGACGTCGGTTCCTATGATTGGAATTTTTTTTTTATTGAAAAAATACTTGTTAAATTTGATATTTTTTTTAAAAAAAAAGGCGCGAAGAGCAAGAGCAAGAAAATTAGACTTTCAAAAGTTTACCATAAGTCCATTTTAATATACGACTATTCACGATTCCCTGACTTAACCCAAATTGTACGGCTGAATAATTTATTGCATAATAACAAGAAATTAAGGAATGTCAAATTATCAACAATTACATATACAGTATAAAAATAGACATTTTCAAAGTAATTTTTTTTTATCTCTTACCTCCTTTTTCAATTGCCACCATTGGATTCGCGGGTACAATTATTTTGTCTAGTAATCGGTGTTTAAATTCATTTTTGATTCTTTCTTGCAAATATTTAGATTCGCTGAAACCACCAACCAACAATATTAGCGCAACATCGCTACATTTTTCAAGCTGTCCACGAATTAGACGTATAATTTTTCCTATTACGGGATCAAACATTGATTTAACATCATCAAACGTTAATTCTACCGTCCACTCTTCTTCTTCCATATTTTCAAATTCCACTCCCTTGGAATATTGTTTTATAACTGGACATAACTCTTTTTTTTTAAAAAAAAAAAAAAAAATTAATTTTTAAAAAATCAATTAAGAACAAAGATGTAACGTGATTTCTCACCTTTTAAATCCATTTCGTAAGGTTGAAAATCCGATTCTTTTCCGGTAAATTGAATTTTAATGCGCCTACAAAATTCTTGTACCATGTACTGTAATTGACTATAGTGATTTGTTCTGACCATACTAAGTGCCGAACTTCCTACTTTTCGACCGATGAATTTGAGAAATTCTTCATCTACAAAACTCCCACCACAAAAATCTCCCTCACGTTCAGTAATTTCGTCTAATTTATTATCTTTCAAAAGTTTTCGTGTTGTCAAATCTACTGTACCACCGCCACAATCAACAATCATAAATGATGCTACGTTCATATAATTTTGATGGTTTAAAAAAAATATATAAACCCTTTGGTCAGAAAGTGACGCGAGAGAGATGAAATAATCACTTACAATCAACGCCAAGGTTATGTTCTGTTAGTTTATTCATGCAATAAATTGCAGCAGCTTCAGCTATTAAATCAAGTACCAAGTTAATTATCGATCACGTGATATTGCTTACTCCGAGTATTAAATCACGTACGTTCTGTCGTAAATTTCAATTTTCCACTATTCCTCTGGTTGATCAGATCGGCTTTGAATGCGCATTCACGCATAACTTTCATAGCTTCTTGGCCGAATTCAGCCGGAACCTATATAGAGAGGATTTACGATTTAAATTTTCTTATCTTCCCAAAATAAAAGGAAAGAAAAAGGAAATTTTTTTTTAAAAGAATTGATTACGAAAACCTACCGTCATTACGATTAACACTTGGTTAAAAAAATCTTTGATAGACCACCGAGTATCAAAAGTTTCTTTCATAACTTTACCTATTTCTCTAAGATAATCTGTTATGGCGGTTTTATGATTAATCCCACTTGGTAAAGGGGGTTTGTTCTCCATTTTACCCAAGTGCAATTTAAATCTTTCTACAGGTTTTTGGTTAGATTGTCTATTTCTCCTAGATGGACGTTCTGCCAACGCGGGCAATCCCCACGATAACAAATTAAATGATTCATCATATTTTAGTACCGTTGGAGTTTTGTAGTAACCTGACACAGACTTCCAAATATCATGTGCAAATATATCATTTGGATTTTTTTTATGAGCATAGGCAAATCCCTATAATAATTTGTTCATTAAAAAAAAAAAAAAAAGTTAGGATGAAATGTAATAACTTGGTCTCTTTTCTACTTTAACATATATTATTGACAACTTACAGAATACGTTGTCCCAAAATCTTTTTAATTTTTAATTTATATATATATATAAAGAATTATTATCAGGATAATTGTTTTCAAAATTTTCAAAAATTGTAATAAAACCAACCTATAGCTGCGACCACACGAATTTCGCTTGAATTTGTCATAATTATTAAAAATTGGCAAATAAAAAAAAAAAAAATTATTTTCTTGAAAAAAGAAAATTCAATTTATATTGATAATGTTGGTTCAATCAACATTTAAATTATAATGGCAAATTTGCATGTTCATCATGTTTTGCCGTGCATCGCGTAACATAGTTTTGTGACAAAATTTACCATAAATGCAACTGTTATTGTTTTTGATTTAGTACATTCTATTCAAGGAACAAAGAACCTCCTTTTTCTTTTCGTTTTTAGTATCATTAATTTCTTTTTGAACAAAATATTGCCGATTGATTTTTAATTTATCGTTAATGATATATATACCTAATTCTTCCTATCTGATAAATAAATAAATCCGAAATTGTTAACGTTAAATGAAAACTTTGAAAATAATAAAAAAAAAAATGACAAATAAAAAGCAAATTTATAATGCAGAAAACGATAGTTCTCTTAAGCCCATGGAAATTGATGATGACAATGCAGGTTCAACTTCCGCTAAAAATGATGATAACACAACTTCAATTTCAACATCCTCTGCTTCTCATACATCAAATATTTCTTTACTTAATCAACCAAATAGTGATTTGACTTCAAATACTTCAAATGATATGATGATGTTAAGTAAGCTACAAAATTTGGAACAAAAAAACCCGAAGCTTCTCAAAGAATTAGATGAGTCCGAAACTTATGTAGCAAAGTTATTTAAGGACAATCAACGTTTGGAACAAGAAGTCGACCTTGGAAAAAATCAAAATAAAGATTATATTAAAACAATAAATGAATTACACCAGAAATTATCAGAAAGTAAATATAATGAAGTACAACAAACGATGAATTTACAAGCATTACAAAAGAAATACAAAGATTTACAACAAAAATACAATAATGAATTGCAAGAATTACAACAAAATTATAATGATAAAGAGCAAGGATTACAACAAAAATACAATAATGAATTGCAAGGATTACAACAAAAATACAATAATGAATTGCAAGGATTACAACAAAACTATAATGATAAAGAGCAAGGATTACAACAAAAATACAATAATGAATTGCAAGGATTACAACATAAATACAATAATGAATTGCAAGGATTACAACAAAAATACAATAATAATTTGCAAGGATTACAAAGAAAATGCAAAGATAAAGACGCACAATTGCAAAAATTACAGCAACAATACAATAATAAAGTGATTGAGTTACAAGAATTGTTTAACGATCAAACTAAGGCTCTACTAGAATCAAATCAAGTAAAAGATCATTTTGAAAAATGTTGTAATGAATTAAAACAGCATTTAGAAGAAAAAGAAACTCGAATTAAATCATTAAAACAAAGGAACGGTGAACTTGAGAACGAAGCAGCAAAATATCAATCCGCTCTTGGAGTTGTAAAAAACTTTAGAATGAGCGATGATGATAAAAATCATAATGTTCAACTTAACCAAGATATTTTATCATTACAAGACAAAATTGATGATTACGTAACAAATTTAGTAAAATCCAAAGTTGACGTTAAAATTGAAAAAATTACGACGAATCTTGTACCACGATATGAATGTCAAACCAAGATCGACTTGAAAAAACCCGATAAGCTATTTATTAAGGCTGTATTGCAACGTTACGTGTTAGACAGAATTTTGGAGTTTGCTGAAAATTACTTTGATAAATCGAATGATAGATCAATTGATTCTCGTTATCTTGAATCGGATATCGTTAAAAAAACGAATGAATTACATGAAGTAATGGAAACGCTTGCTAGTACTCGTGACGGAACTGATGAAGTAACAAGAGTCACCCCTATAAAATTACGCCAACTAATATATTCTGCTCTTGGGATGAGAGGTCTTGGAGATTTAATTGATTCAGGTCATTCATTTATACATATATCTATCCAAAAGTATTCGGAACAACTTAATACCTCAATGAACAAATATCGTGTTGTAAAAGATCCTAAAAAGAAAGAATATATTGATGGATTAGCTAAAACTCTTATTCGAGAGATTTTTCGAATTTTTTACTTTCGTTTAAAAGTTCAAGAACCAATTGCTCAATATTATTGGTTTAAATGTGGCGATAAAGTTAGTAAAATTTCAATGAAATTAAGTTGTGAAGACGATGAAATCGATGATCTGGTGGTTGATTTATGTACTTTTCCAATTATCGGGCAAGGTATAAATTTGAACAAAATAAGCCAAATATTTACTCCCGCAAAAGTTTTCGCGCGCCATGTTCCTAAATCAAGTTTTACGACTAGACTCAAGAATATGATTTCCGGAGATGGGAAACCAAAATCATCAGTTAAACCAAATGATAGTTCTCCCGAGCAATCCACAACTCACATCCGAACGAAAACAAATTATTATGATTCACAAGATGAGAAATCAAAATCATCAGTTAATGATAGTTCTCCCGAGCAATTCACGACTCACACCCGAACGAAAACAGAGTATTATGATTTACAAGATGAGAAATCAATATCATCAGTTAATGATAGTTCTCCCGAGCAATTCACGACTCACACCCGAACGAAAACAGATTATTACGATTCACAAGATGAGAAATCAAAATCATCAGTTAATGATAGTTCTCCCGAGCAATTCACGACTCACACCCGAACGAAAATAGATTATTATGATTCACAAGATGAGAAATCAAAATCATCAGTTAATGATAGTTCTACCGAGCAATTCACGACTCACACCCGAACGAAAACAAATTATTATGATTCACAAGATGGAAAATCAAAATTATCGAACAACAATTCAAATGATAATTCCGCCGAGAAAAAGGAACAAACTCCAGATATTAGTACTAAAGAAAGTGAAAAAAAATCAAGTACACAAGAAAATGCAAAACTTTATAGCGAACTTGATACAAACTTAAGTGTTGGAAGTGATACAATCGTAAGAGGCAAAGGAGAAACAATCGTAAAAAGCGGAAGGGATACAAAAGAAAGGGACGAAAATGATACAAACGAAAGAGATGAAAGTCGTACAAACGAAAGAGGTGTAAGTCGTACAAACGAAAAAGATGGAAATGATATAAACGAAAGAAGTGGAAATTGTACAAGTGAAAGAGATGAAAGTGATAAAATAGGTGGAAATTATACTAACGAAAAAAGTGAAAATGAAACGAACGAAAAATATGAAAGTGGCAAAAACGATAATGATAAAAAAGATGAAAGTGGTACAAGTGAAAGATGCGAAAATCTTACACAAGGAGGTGGTGGAAATCATACGAGTGAAATGGACAGAAATTATATACAAGGAAGAGATGAAAATCATACGAGTAAAAGGGACGGAAAGTATACACAGGGAGGAGATGGAAATCATATGAGTGAAAGGGACGGGAATTATACACAAAGAAGAGATACACAAGGAGGTGGTGGAAATAATACGAATGAAATGGACAAAAATTATACACAAAGAGATGGAAATCATACGATTGAAAGGGACGGGAATTATACACAAAGAGTTACACAAGGAGGTGGTGGAAATAATACGAATGAAATGGACAAAAATTATACACAAAGAGATGGAAATCATACGAGTGAAAGGGACGGAAATTATACACAAGGAAGAGATGGAAATCATACGAGTGAAAGGGACGGAAATTTTACACAAGGAAGTGGAAGTCATACATTCGAAAGGGACGGAAATTATACACAACGAAGAGATGGAAATCATACGAGTGAAAGGGACGGAAATTTTACACAAGTAAGTGGAAGTGATGCATTCGAAAGGGATGGTTATACACAAGGAAGTGGAAGTCATACATTCGAAAGGGACGGAAATAATTATACACAAGAAAGAAGTGGAAGTCATACAAGTGAAAGGGACGGAAATTATACACAAAGAAGTGTAATTCATACATTCGAAAGAGACGGAAATTTTTATATACAAGGAAGAAGTGGAAATGCTACAAGCGAAAGAAGCAGTACATACAAAAGAGGTGGAGTTGATACAAACGATATAGACGGAAACGGTTCAAAAAAACGGCAATTTATTTAGCAAATAATTCGTTCTTCATAATTAAGCATTCAAACGGTCACGATATTATTGATTATTTTTATTATATTAATATGTTTACTTTATACATTTATTGTTATTTTATTTTTTTTTAAAGAGCAATTTAAGATTATAAATAAAATTTTTTTCTTTTTAAAAACTCAATAAACCAACTCTTTATTCTTCCATTGGTAAGTTCACTAGTTCACTTTAACTTTAACGGGACTAGTTATAAAATTGAAAGATGATGTTTATCTACTGCGACGGAAACTCGAGAGTACAAAAGGTATGCTCTTGCTAGAGAACTTTTATTTGATCACGATAATTTTATAAAAATTTATAAAATTTATTTTTATTTATTCCTTATAAAATGTTAAGCTAATACTAAATATAATAGACAAAAAACGTTCTTTCTTTCTTTAGATATCTAATTCAAATGTCGTATTGTAACTTTCACCGGTTAACAAATTAAAAGCAGCAGCGTCAATTTCAAGTTCACCAAAGTTTAAGACCATGAAAATAGGTCTTATACTAAATGTTACGGGTATATCAATAGACCATTTACCAAGTAAGTTGATATGAGGCGAATCAAAAAAATTTACGTCGTCCTTGTCAGTGGTAAATAAATCTAAACCGATTTTACTTTGTAAAATAGAAGCTGGACGGAATACTCGGGTAACTACTTCATCAACGGAAATTTCATCTCCACGTTTTGCCAATATTGAAAATTCAATAACAATATCACCCGGAAGTTTCTGATTTGGTGGATCACCTGGTTCCCACATGCGGGCAACGTCAGTTCCTAGTGTGGATCAAAAGAACGAAGGTGTTGATAAAATTATAAAATTGCATAAATACGCGTGACCTAATTACCATAAGTCCATTTCAATACACGAGTAGCGATGACGTCATGCTTCAATCCATATTGAACGGCTATAAATTAAAGGAATTCTTAATAAAAAGAATATATATATAAAATAACCAATAACCAATAAACAATAAAATCAAATTTACCTCCTTTAACAATTGCTGTTATTGGATTGCTAGGTACAGATATGTTCCTCACTCTTTGCTTGAATTCTTGTTTGACTCTGACCTGTAAATATTTAGACTCGCTGAATCCACCGACTAATAATATAGCCGAAACATAATCATTGCATTCGTCAAGCTGTTGACGAATTAAACCTAAAATCTTTTTTACTACCGGATCAAACATTTTTTTAACGTCTTCAAATTTCAGTTCAACCACCCATTCACTTTCTTCCAATTCGTCGCGATGGGAACCTCTTATATACTGCTTTGCCACTGGACAAAGTTCTTGTTTATAATAAAAATAATAAAAGAAAAAAATTTTAGCATTACAAATTCATCACAATCAAGAAAATTATATGATAGTTACCTTCCAAATCCAAATCAAATGGTTTAAAATCTTTTCTTTCTCCTGTGAACGGAATTTTGACACGCCTAGAAAATTCTTGTACCATATATTGGAATTGATTATAATGCTTCTCTCTAATTAGATTAATGGCCGATTGACCGATTTTGGATCCAAGAAACTTAATGAATTCTTCATCAACAAAAATCCCACCACAATAATCGCCTTTGCTTATCGTTTTTTCACCAAGTCTTTTACCCGGCAAGAGTTTTCGAGTTGTCAAATCAACGGTACCACCGCCACAATCAACCACCATATATGTTGCTGGAAAAGGCATAATGGATAAGTAAATCGAAATATAATATTTTTACAATTAATATGCGGGTGTGTATACTTACAACCAGCACGGATGTTAAGTTCTTTTAGGTTCTTCATACAGTGGATGGCTGCAGCTTCGGCTATTTACAAATCAGTTGTAAGTCACGTGTTAAAGTACAAATCAAAGAAGTTTCATACTTACGTTCTTGTATAAATTTTAAATTCGGTGTGTCCGGATCTTTAATTAGTTCGGCAGCGAACGCACAATCACGCAAAGTTCGCATAGCTTTAGTTTCGAATTCAGCCGGAATCTATCAAATCATTGTAAGGATCAAACGTAAATTGGCTGAAATTACAAAAATTCAAGAGAAAATTTTTAATACCGTCATAATAATCAAAACTTGTGTATAAAAATCGACTTCTGGCCATCGATTTCTTAAAGTATCTTTTATCAGATTGCTCATTTTTCTAATATAATCTTCAATAGCCTTTTTATAATCTAAACCATCTGGTAGATAAGGAGCAAATGTAATATCTTCTTCTCGTATTTCACCTAAACATAACTTGAATCTTTCCGCAGGTCTCGTTTTTGAAGGAGCCTTTGTCTTGCTTGGTTTTTCAGCTAATGCAGGGTATCCCCAAGATATCACATTAAGTGAATCATCGTATTTTAACGTTGTGGGATGTTTAAATTGTCCAATGGATTCATCCCATTCATCGTGTACGATTATATTTTTACTAGAAAAATGAGCATAAGCGAAACCCTACGTATTATTATTAATTGCAGAAAGTTAATAAGAAACTTTAAAAATATTTTATTTAATAGTGAATGAATTATATCTTACCGAAAAGGTAGTCCCAAAATCTTGTAAAAATGAAAAGTACAACTTTTAGTATGTTTTTTAAATATGATCTTTTTAAATATTTACCATAGTGAACATACCTATGGCAGCGACTACACGCAGTGCTTTGTTATTCATTATGTTTGATAAAAGAAACTTATTTTTTTAAAAAAAAAAAAAATTCTTTAGGGTAAAAGATTTGATTTATATATAGATAGATATTTTTGTTTCCCAATTTAGGTTTGTTTTGATACATTCTAAACGTCTGTGTAAGAATTACATAAAAATTCTCACGTACGTTTTTCGAAATGGCAACTAAAATTATGTCACTGTTTCTATCCTGGCTGTGCAACCCCTCAAAAGCGCGTTAGCATGTGCCAAATTCTCACACGGTAAATATTTGTAATAAAACATTCGGACCTGTTCTGACGCAATTTAATTTTTTCGAATAATATTTTATTATTGTTGATATTGTTGATTCAAAAAAATGAAAAGTTTCCTGAAATACTGTATCTTCACGAAAAGATTTTGACAAAGATGTGATGATGTTCCTGTATAATTATTTTCTTTAACTCCCTACTCTCCCTACGCGTTATTATCTTGAATTTAATCATTCGAGAATTTCAAGCATTTCTTATTCTTATAACGGTCTTTAAAATTCTTGACAACTAAAAATTCGCGAGGCATCTGCGCCACTATTATTATGCCCTCAACAGGTGGGCTAATATTATTTATTTTTGTTTTTCCGAAAATCAGGGATTTGGTGCGACATGCCACTCATGATTATTAATTGGATGTTATTGTTGATATATAAAGAACTTTTCTTTCTTATTTTAGGAATGAATTTCGTCTTAACCGTTTATTCAATTGTGTAACCGACTTAAAAGTCTAAAAAATTAAGATTTCCCCCTTTTTCCTGTTTTTTTTTATATTATCTCTCTGAGAGTCAGTTTTCATTTCTAACTATTTCGTAACCTTTGAATAATAAATAATAATATTCCAATTTCAAGACAACCCGAATGGCATCACAAAATTTTGATGATCCTGAAGAATTCGAAATCACATCCAAATCAACGAACGTTGAAAGACAAAGAAAACGTGAACAAAATGCCGAAATACAAAAACTTATTGACGAAAATAATTCTTTTGAAGCAAAGTATAAGAAATTGGAGCAACAATTCAATCAAAATAAAGAATACTTTGAATCACGTTGCAATGAATTAGAACAAAAATTAAAGGATGAGAGATCTCAAATTCTATCATTGGAAAAAAGGAATGGTGAACTAGAAAAAGAAGCATCAAATTATCAATCCGCTCTTGGAGTTGCAACGTCTTTTAATTTAAGTGATGAGGATCAAAATCACACGGTTCGACTTAACCAAGATATTTTAGCGTTACATGATACTTTAGAAAATTACGTTACGAATCTGAAACCTAAAATAAACGTTGATATAAAAGTAGCGAAACAAATTTTACGTAAATATAAATGTCAAACAGAGATTTCCGATAAGGATCCAAACAAACCAGTTATCAAGGCCGCCTTACAACGTCACGTACTCGAAGAGATAATGAAACAGGCGGATTTCTATTTTACTCGTTCCAATATGGAACACTACCTGGAATCAGAGATTGTCTCAAAAACTGTTGAATTAACAAATTTAATGGAAAAATTTTATAAGAACCGTCTCGGTGATGATAGAGTAACGCGTCATACGCCGATAAAGCTGCGTCAGCAAGTCTACTCCGCGCTTGGTACTCGAGGATTTAATGATATCACTTCTTCGAATGGAACTTCTAGTCATTCTAAGCATGACTTTATTTACACTATCTCGAAAAAAATCAATAAGATGATGAATAAGGTTCGCGTAATTAAAGATGTTGAGAAGAGAAGATATGTTGACGCACTGGCAGGGGATTTGGTTCGAGATGTCGTTAGAATTTTTTATTTTCGTTTAAAAATTCAAGAACCAATGGCTCAATATCTTTGGTATGAAAATAACGAAAGGATCAATAAATCTACCATGAAAAGTAGTTGGGATGATGATGATGATATTGATGATATGGTTGTTGAGGTTTGTTCATTCCCGCTAATTTTTAAACCGGATGGTTTTAAGGTTTACACACCCGCGAAGGTTTACGCATGCCATATTAGAAAACAAAGTGTTAGGGAAAAATTCTTTAATGCAAGTAAGTCCATTGGACATAAATTAACAAGGTTTTATTCTGGAGGTGAAAATTCAAATTTATCAATTGATTCAGTGAATACTTATGATTATGATACCGATCAAATTGACTCTGATGCCGAAACGTCAAATAATGAAGTTATTTAAATAAAGAATTCTACGTCATAACTACGTTACTTTTTATGTGGGGTTTTTTTTTAATTTAATATGATGTATTTTGTCTTGAACAATAAATATTGAAATCTATAGTTTGCGATTTTTTAGAGAATTTTCCGTTCTGTTTAT